TCCCCAGGGAAACCATACATTCCAGTTTGTCCAAGACAATCCTGGTTTGCAGCTGTTGTTCCAGTGACCATAACACTACCTTTTACACTCAAAGTGTCATGATTTAAATGATATAGCCACTCTATCCGGGATGCTGTTGTTGTTATTGATGTTATTGTTAAATGCTGTCAAGTCAGTTCCAACTCACAGCCACCCTGTGTAAGGTTTCTGAGGAGCAGCGGGTGGGTTTGAACTGCTGATCTTGTAGTTCAACTGAACTTTCAGTCCAGTGCTAATAGCCCTTCAAATAGTTGAAGACCACAAATATTTTCCTCAGGTTACATGCCCCTTGTTTTTCAGCTGTTATTTATAAGACATGATTTTAAGGGACTTATCATTCTTGCTTCTAAATACACACTAGCTTATCTGTATTCCAAAAGCACTAAAAATTATATTTTATGTTGCATATCTATGTCTGCAAAGTAGTTTATAATTAAAGAAAACAGTCATTTACTTCCTTTTGAATACTAGACCAAGGCAGTTATGGGTAAAAACAAGAAACTCTGGCGGTGCAACAGTTAAAAATTTAGCTGCTAACCAAAAGTTGGTAAATCAAACCCACTCATAGGAGTCCTGGTGTGGCGCTGTGAGTTAATGCACCACATGGCAAAGCCGTTTGAACTGCAAGGTCAGCAGTTCAATTTCACCAGCTGCTCCTCGGAAACCCTATACAAGGTCGCTATGGGTCGGAACCAACTCGATGGCACTTCACAACAACAACAGAGGATCCACATAAAAAAAAACTCTGGCCATCTGCTCTGGTAAAGACTGCAGCCTGGAAAGCCCTGTGGGCCAGTTCTCCTCTGTCATACTGGCTTGCTATGAGTTGAAAATGGCCTGACTGCACCTACAGATAACAACACAGGCAACCAATCTGCACTGTCAACAAGCCACTTCCAGCTGAGAGCGACCCTGGAAAATTTAATCTGCAAGGCTGCAATTCTTTACAAGAGCAGAATACCTCCTCTTTCTCCCAAGAAGTAGCTGATGGGTTTAAACTGTTGACCTTGTAGTCAGCATTCCAGTGTTTATCCTACAGTGCCACCAGGGCTCCTTAACATGGATAAAGCTAAACAAAACAAATAACCCACTGCCACGAAGTCAGTACCAACTCATGTTGTTTTTGTTGTTATTGCTGGTGTTGTTTTTGGGTGCCATTGTGTCAGTGCCGACTTATAATGACCCTATGCACAACAAAGCAAACACTGACCTATCCTGAGCCAACCTCACAATTCAAGTCACAGCAACCCTAAAAAGGGTTTCCTAGACTGTTAATCTTTATTGGAGCAGAAAGCCCGCTCTTTCTCCCACAGAGTGATTAGTAGATTTAAACTGCTGACCCTGTAGTTAGCAGACCAAAGTGTAACCGACCACATCACCAAGACTCCTTCATATGGGTCAAAATTTCCTGGTAGTCACCTTGTAAAATGGTACACGGTAGTATGTCACATTGCACCAGTAGGTGTCACTCTCCGTATATGTAGTCTAGTGTTAAAATTACTCAAGTTTTAATTCAACACTTAACAAATGTTTACTGAGAACCCACTGTGTGTCTTGTATGATTCTCAGTACTGAGAATAGAGTGGTGAACAAGATAGAAGGTCTTATTCTCATGGACTTTACATTCAAAATTATTAGTAAACAATTCTGCCTTATTTTCTATATAAAAATTTGTTAAATGCTATTCCTAAGATGTGGTGCTTTGGGATAAGCACTGGACTACAAACCACAAGGTTGGTAGCTCAAACCCACCCATGGCTCCTTGGAAAACCTACATGGGTTCGCTATGAGTTAGAACTAACTAGACAGCACCTAACAACAATTCCTAGGGAAAGTTAATTTTCCTAATCCAATACATGGAGTCCTGGTATGACACTGTAGAATAAGCTCTAGACTGCTAACCACAAAGTCAATTTAAAGCCACCAGCTGCTCCTCGGAAACCCTATACAGAGTCACTATGAGTTGGAACTGACTCAACAGCACTTAACAACAACCATCCAACAGATAATAACAGCCAAATCTTAAAGAACAAAAGTATAATGACACAGAATCAGAGAAACTGTTCTGTTGGCGCTACATTAATGTACCCTGTATATTTTCTAGCTTTCTGAATTTATTCAACACTTTTCTTCTAAATTTCAGGTATCTAAAATCCAAATTTTGATTATTCCTCAGTAAAGAGAAGAAACCTATCTTAAAAAATAATTTAAAAATTTGTCTACCTATTCAAATTTTTGCAATTTCGAGACTGTATATATATATATACTTAAAGATTATTTATCAACTCCCAAAATATGTTTCCTCATGTCTATTCACACAGTTGAATGTCAACTTCTAAACACCAAACACACTTCCAGATTAACAGAGTAAAGAGTAATGATTTATACTCCAGCTTAGAATTTAGGAATTCCTCCACTGTCAAAAGTCCCTTGTTTGTATAAACCTTTAAGCAGTAGTTCAAAGTAATGTACTCATAATTTGAGCATAGCAGTGAATGGATCACACTCAGTCAAAGAAGAAAAAAATAAGTCTACAGGTTCAAATTTCAATTGTATATACTTATTTGGGAGGGGAAAAAAAAAGATGCTTTCAAAGATTTAATGAAGCCGACAGTTTCATTTAGTGCCCAATCAACCTAACGTGTTGTTGGTGATGTGCCGTGGAGTCAGTTCTGACTCATAAGCAACCCTAATAGGGTTTCCAAGGCTGTAAATCTTTATGGGAACAGAAAGCCTCATACTTCACCAGCAGAACAGCTGGTAGTTTTGAACTGCTTATCTTGAGGTTAGCAGCCCAACTCGTAACCACTGTGCTACTAGAGCTCCTTAATCTCCCCTTTATGATGCTTCTAACCATTAGTTACTGTCTAATTTGATTGAGCTGCACATTGTTCAATTTTAGCATGGAATCACATGCACACTTTAAAACAAAAAGTATTCAATAAACATTAAATTATAGAAGAACATTAGGGTGCTTCACACTAAATGGCTAATAGTTTAAACAATATTTGATTTTATGCCTTAATATTAAATAGGAGTCTTTTTGTGGTACTTTAGTGTAAGCGCATGACTGCTAACCACAAGGTGGAGAGTTCAAACCCACTAGTTGCTCCTTGGAAACCCCATGTAAGGTCATTATGAATAAGAACTGACTCAACAGGGCTTTAACAACAACAATATTAAATAAGGCACTTTCTTTTACTTTGCAAGGCAAAGTGATGTTTGATCAAACATATGATGGTGGTTGTATGCCCTCGAGTTGGTTCTGACTCACAGAGATGCCGTATAGGGTTCCCGAGGGTGTAATTTTATTAGGAGCAGAAAGCCTCATCTTTTGCCTGCTGAGCAAATGGCAGATTTGAACTACTGAACTTGTGGTTAACAGCCCAATTCAGAATCCACTTTTAACAGGGCTCCTTATAGTACTTAAAATATAGTTTATTGGCTATGGTACTTAAATGTATGTGTGTAAACAATCTGATAGATTCAGTACTGTTAATATGAGGTTACTTCAAAAAGTTTGTGGAAATGGAATTAAAAGATTCCATCTAATGAAATTTTTCATGAACTTTATGAAGCCCCTTCATAATTGGCATATCTAGAATGCCACCAAATTTAAAGAAACTCAATGCAAGTATTTTTGTTAGCTCAGTATTTTCATTCCAATTTTCTCACCTGTGTTGGGTGAGAAAGGAATATTGTAGCATATGGAAAAAGCATAACTTAGGAAGTCAGAAAGATCTAGGATCTCTGGTGGCGCAATGGTCAAATGTTTGGCTGCTAACCAATAGACTGGTGGTTTGAAACCACCCAAAGTTTCTGTTGCAGAAAATAATTGGCAGGTAATCTGCTCTTGTAAAGATTACAGCCTAGAAAACACTGTAGGGCAATTCTAGTCTGTCACATGGGTCACTTATGAGTCAAAATCGTCTGGAAAGCACCCAACAATAACCCTCAACTAGTTATATGACTCTGGGAAAGTTACCCAGACTGTTCTAAATATCACTTTCCCCACCAGGATGCTATGGGTTAATGCGCTGGACTGCAAAATTGGTTTAAACTGCAAGATCAGTGGTTCAAGCTCACCTGACGTTCCTCAAAAGCCCTACACAGGGTCGCTATGAGTCCCCGGTACTTTACAACAAGAAAAATGGAAACAGTAAGATGCCTAACAAAGGGTTTGAGCATAGATGTTGTTAGGTATAGAGTAGTTGGTTCCCACTCATAATGAGCCTATGCACAACAGAACAAAACACTGCCCAGTCCTATGCCATCCTCACAATTGTTATTAAGCGTGAGCCCACTGCTACTGTCAAGTGTGCCAATCCATTTTGCTGCGGGGAGGGAGGAAGTCTTCCTCTTTTTCACTGACCTTCTACTTTAGCAAGTGTGATGTCCTTCTCCAGGGACTGGTCCCTCCTGATAATATGTCCAAACATAGTAGGTGTTCAATGTTGTTGCTGTTAAGTGCTGTAGAGTCAGTTCCAACTCACAATGACCAAGGAGCAGCTGGTGGGTTTGAACCTGTGGTTCACACTCCCGTGCTGATCTTACAGCACACCACATCAGGAGTCCTCAATCAGCAGTAGTTATTAGGATGCTGCCAGTTTCCTTTGGACCACTAGACTGACTATCCCAGTTAATGCTGGACAACAACTGACACACAAGTCTCACACAAAGTGCATCTTTACCCTGGTACAGCACATTTTAAAAGCCAAGCCCCATACTGAATGCCAACAAATATGCACCTTCTCCTTCAGCTCAAATATATTTTGCATGACCTTATATGAATTGCTTAGATAAAAGCCTTTCCTCTTCTGCTTTTGTTATTTTAAAGTGCAGATGCATTTGAGTCATTTTCTCCTTTTGTTTCATATCTTTAAGATCCAAAGCTTCAAAGGCAGAATGTCAGCATGTAGTCGATTTATGACTGAACTCTTGAAGAGACACTGAAGAATTACCTTGTCAATCACCCCAAGGACTCTGAAGGCCTTCAGCTCCTCGGCAGGGCTCCTTAGGTTCCAAGGGGGCCTTGAACTTAGTGATCCTGGAGGCTAATGGAAGATATCAAAGATTATACATCAATCAGGGAGGTACTTGAAGGAAGACTGCCTGCTGAAGCAAATGCCAGGCCAAAGGAAACGAAATTTATCATCAATCAGAGAGTGAAAAGATGAAAGGAGGAAGTTTCTGTTTGTCTGTAATCTAAAATAAAAGAAAGCAAGAAAATCAAAAAGAAAAAGCAAGAAAAACATTTTAAAAATTGCAAGTAAACAAACCATGATAAAATTGAAAACAAAATTTTTAAAAGAAAAATTAATGAGTTAATACAACTTTTAGAATAATAATTCAGCTCAGAACAGTACAGCAATAATATAACTCTGGAACAATGGGTAAATGAACCACAATTAATCTCAGCCTTATATTTATCCCAGAAGTTCAACGGTAAATTAAAATGGGGAGAACTAGAAAACAATGTCATAATGGATAAATTTTGTGGGGAGGGTCATAAATCATTCCTTACAAAATCACATTCCTTTAGTTTTACTTTGGACTCCTGGTATGGCGCTGGACTACTGCAGACCGCAAAGTCAGCAGTTCAAACCTACCAGCTGCTCCTCAGAAACCATGTACAAGGTCACTATGAGTCAGAATCGACTTGAAGGCACTTTAACAACAGAGTTGCTTTACAAATAGTTCTGGTGTGGCACTATAGTAATAAATACCAGACCACAAGGTCAGTTTGAACCCCAAAGTCAGCAGTGCAAACCCACCAATCACTCCTCGGAAATCCTCTACATAGTCTCAAGGAGTCAAAACCAATTCTATAGCATTTAACAAAAACAACAACAACATATGTTTTGGGAGGGACTAACAGACTCAAGTTCATCCAGAAGAATTACCAATAATGGTGACATTTCTAGAAATGCTATCATATAATAATTAACGACTTGACATTGAGTTACTCAAATGTCATTTTTTGACACTTCAAGTGATGGAGAAGAATGACACCACTAGCCAGAATGTTAGCAACTTGGAAACAGTAAATGTGCCCTGGCTGACTGGGTGTGGCTAGCCAAGTCAGTGACCATGTATAGGGTTTTTCCAAGACTGCAAATCTTTACGGAAGCAGACAGACTAAGCTTTCTCCCATGGAGTGCCTGATGGACTCAAACTGCTGGCCCTTCAGTTAGCAGCCCAATGCGTAACCCACTAAACTACTCAACTTTATATTCACAGAGCTTAGTGTTCAATTCATCAGAGGGAGAGAGGGAGCAGGGAACGGGAAATGAAGAGAGAAGAGAAACAAAGGGTTAGATAAATTAGATGTTTTTTTACCACTGGGAAAACCACCACTTGTAAAATTTTGAAACTAGCAAAAGTTTAAAATTGAAGGAGAATGCCCATACAAACTAACGTATTTTAAAGTTACACATGTACTCAGATAAATAACAGATATTATCTTCTAACTGATTAATTTATATTATTTCATTTTCCACCAGTCTGAGTGTGGTATATACCAAGTTATTTAGATCCCTATTTTACACACATTTGTTGTCAGAAAGAGAAACAAGTGAAAGATTACTGACTAGAACTCCAACCCTTTACTTTGTACTATGCAATAAATCCTGACAACTGAGAACTCATCTTCTTCTACCCTAAATCAAGAAGAAGTCAGGGCTGTTTATGACTCTGGCAAAAACAATGTTGGGGGAAAAATTATGGGGAGAAAAGAATACTTCAAATAATACTTTACCCATTATATTCATCTTTGAAAATTTGTCTAAAAGCTTCTCATTTCTCTTTTGTTGTTATTGTTAAGCACCATTGAGTCAGTTCCTACTCATAGTAACCATGAATAGAGTTTCCAAGGAGCAGCTGGTAGGTTTGAACCTATGACCTTGTGGTGAACAGTCTAGTGGTTATCCTACAGTGCCACTCCAGGACTCCCGAATATCTCTACTATCTACCTTATATAGTCTAGGCCTAAAGTTACCCTTCAAATTCACTGACATCATTGAATCTTTCAGTTTCAAAAAAGAGCTATCAGCTCACTGTAGCAATTTCAATATCAAAAACATCAAACTACAATATCTTTTAGGACAACTGTTAACAAATAATTTACTGGGTACTCACTCTGTGCACAATACTGAAAAGGATATAAACCGTCAAAAGGCATAGCCCTAGCCTCAAAAACTTTGCAATCTATTTGAAAAAGATACACCAAAAATACAAAAAGTTAACAATAAAACATTGTTTTTCAAAAATGTAGGACAACAAGTAAGTCACTAGTTGATAAAGATAACTGTGGTCTCAAAAAGATGATACTAAAAGAAATCTTCAAATGCTATGAGAAAATTAGGTTAGAAAATAGGCATTATATGCATATAATGGGGTGAACACTGACCTGGCAAGAGAAAATGCCCAAACTGGAAAACAGAAAAAAATTAAATTACATACTTAGGTCCAGTCAGATTTCACAGGCCTTGAATGCCAGGAAGAAAAGTCTAGACTGTATTATCCTAGTCTAGACAATTTTTTTTTATGGTTTAGAAAGGTTACTCTTACAAAGAAGTGGATACTAAAACTGTAATGGGGAAAGACCAAAGGCAAAGTCATCATTTAAGTTCTCTTTCTACTTTAGCCATACCAAAAAAAAGTTTAAGATCAAAGAAGTGAACAAAGAAAAATCATGAAATAAAATCATCAATGAAAAAGTCCTGTATTTCTTATACACACATTTAAAGTGAATAGAATCCTATAGATCTATTCATCTTTCCAGATGGCTAAAGGAAACATAAACCCATCAAATTTAAGAGTTTAAACAGACCTTAAAGATCACATACATTTTCATTTTGTAATTTTTCAGGTGAGAAAGCTAAGAAGCAGCAAAGTTAAAGAGTTCGTCCAAGATGAGAAAGCTAGGTTACACATAACAAACAAAAATGCAAACCACTGCCATCTACTCAATTCCAACTCACAGTGCCCATATATATGGAGTAAAGCTTACTTATTGTTACCTATATTTATTAGCTGTTATAGCTGAGGAGAGCAGCCCTGACGGCCCTGTGATTAAAGTACCTGGCTGCTAACAGAAAACCACCAGTCACTCCATGGGAGAAACTGTGGCAGTCTGCTCCCAGAAAGATTTCGTTGTTGTTGTTAAGTACCAATCATGTTAGTTCCAACTCACAGCAACCCTATATAGGGTTTCCAAGAAGCAGCTGGTGCGTCTGAACTGCCAACCTTGCAGTTATCAGTCCAGTGCTTATCTTACACAGCACCACACCAGGACTCCGTTGGCAACCTGTTGTTGTTGTTGTTATGTGCCGTGGAGTCAGTTCAGACTCATAGCAACCCTGTACAGGGTTTCCAAGGCTGTAAATCTTTACAGGAGCAGAAAGCCTCATCTTTCTCCTGCAGAACAGCTGGTAGTTTCGAACTGCTGACCCTGAGATTAGCAGCCCAATTCGTAACCACTATACTACCCGGTTTCCTAAGTCTCTCTTAGATTACACTTCAAACCTGGCACATCATCCAGAGTCCTATTACTGATATAGAATGTCCTGATTTCCTATCTCTGCTCATTGAGTGTGACACAAAATTCATCTTAATTTCTAAATACAGATTGAAAACTACCAACTGATAATATTAGCAAACAAAGTGCATAATAGGGAAACATTTTCAATATTACTATAGAACTTGCGCTCAAAATCTTGAAGACATATTCAGGACAGGTATACATCCGACATACTCATTTTTACTCACACTTTGCAGTTACGTGACAAAAAAGGTATTCACACTTCTGACACTACATAACCTTTTATGTACTAAATTTAGATCATTCACTGTTCTTTCCTAAACTTCACTGGTGGTGGTGGTGGTGGTGTGCCATAGAGTCAGTTCTGACTCATAGCGACCCTATATTGGGTTTCTAAGGCCGTAAATCTTTACAGGAGCAGAAAGCCTCATCTTTCACCTGCAGAATGGCTAGTAGTTTCACACTGCTGACCTTGAGCCTAACTTGTAACCACTACCAGAGCTCCTTAAACTTCATTGATCTTTCATTTAAATTTCCTAGAGTTAAAACTATTCCATGTCTTTTCCAGGGAAATCCTTTTTAATTTTAATTCTTAAATCATCTAAAACCATCTAAGATTTTTAAAAATAAATTAAGAAAAGACCTGTCTCCTTTAGTTAAGACTTAAAAGCTCATTCCCTTTTTATCTGAAACCTGCTCCTTAAATTTTCTTACAGTCTTTTAATGATGAAGAAAAGAAAGAATATGAGTGTGCCTTTTTCCCTTCTGATCCTTTCTTGAAATGAATATTAACGTGAATGGCAGAAAATAAAAGGAGTCATAACTTAAGAGTACACCAGAAGTGAAAATCACAACAGAAGTTCAAAAGACAAAAAGGATACTGTTGTTTTCCTAACAGAATAGGTGAGAAAGAAATGTTTATACATGGATAAAATATATAATGGCACAGAATTATAACAGCTAAAGGATCCTTAGAAATCTTCTTGTACTGGCTGAAATTGAGGCTCAAGAGTTTGGCTAAAGACGAGAAATAATGAATCCATCAAGCTAATCGAAACGTTTAGAGGACATTTAACTTACTAGCTACAGATAAGAAAACAATTAAGCATGCCCCTGACCAATCAGTGGCAGGTTTAATAGAATAAAACACAAAAGGGAAAACAGAAAGACATGCTAAGCGTACAAGAAAACCAGCTGCCTATTCATCTCTTTCACCTCCTTGACTAGGAATTGAAAAAAATCCTAGTATAGCAACACTGATATAGTCCTTTCTACTATAATTCCTCGTTATTATGCTACATGGTTCTTCTGGCTCTTTAACTTCCCTGTTCCTCCAATTTTGTACATATTTCAGTGCCGCATATATACTACAGGGTCTGCCAGAGTGGAGACTGTGTCATCACCATTTGTACGACTCCACAGTGTATCTAGGAGACTGGTGTGGTGCTGTAGGATAAGCACTCAACCATAACATCAATTTGAACTGCAGGTCGGCGCTTCAAGCTTACCAGCCGCTACTTGGAAACCCTAAACAGGGTTGCTATCAGTTAGAAGCAGCTCAACAACACTTAACAACAACAGTATATCTATTTTGTTACAGTACATATCGAGTCTTAATCAATGATTAATAAATTAATGTGTAACTTAATATAATCTGTTTCCTATATTAGGTAAATAGATATATAAAGTCTTCAGCTTACTTTTGACTTGCAGAACAGAACAATGAAATATATCAGTCAGAATTTCCCTGCAAGCATAGTTTCTAACGAGAATAAAACAATGAGATCTACTACAGGAAAGCAGATTATAACAGGCAAGGATGATAGAAAACAGGCAAGATGGTTTTCTTGTATGGTAGGCACTTGTTTTTATTTTCCTTTTTGTACTTTATTCTATTAAGCCTTATTGGTCAGGCTTAATAGATTATGCTGGATTATTTTCTTATTTATAAATTTAGTTAAATGTTCTCCAGACGTTCTTGACTAGTTTCTTTTCTTTGACTATTATTTCTTTTCTTTGAGTATCTTTGAGGCTCAACTATATGATATCCATTTTTCAGATGTAGAAATTGAGGCTCTGAGATGGGTTAAATATTTTCTCCAATTTTACATGGCTTCTAGTGGCAGAGCTGGGATATAATCCAAGCCTGCCTGACTCTTACAATGAAGAAAACAGGCTAAACACCATTCCCCATCTCCAAAAGACACAACTCTTAAATTACATCAGAAAAAAATTAATTAATAAATAGAAAAGTTTCTTCCAGAAATTTACAAGATCCAGACAGATCTGATATAAAAAACAACAATAATAAACCACATTGTTTCTAATGGTTTATGTATCCCACCTGCCTTTTAGATAAAATTAGGGGCAGGCCCCAATAAACCTAAATGACTCTGCATAATTATGCCTTTGTCATTCCATGTGATCTATATTATTGATCAGCGTTTGTGGAATTTAAGCTTACAATGAAATAAATTAGCTACATGAAACAATTTTACCATGAATCAGTAAAACTGCACAGGAAAAACTTAAGAATCATAATCTAAAATTAAAAAAATTCAAATACTGATAGATGTCTTGATGAACTAAATTACTGTCTTTCTAAAGACAGAAAAATGAGAAACTAACATAGAGCCAAGAAAGTGAAGAAAAAATCAAGTCCTGTTTTCTTTCCATCAAAACACTGTAAGAAAATAATAGCTATAATTCTAAAGAACAAACTTCTCATTCTTAATAGAAGTAAAGCTGAGAGACATGAGAGCTAAAGTGGCTACAGAGAATATAAAATGAAACAAAGACAAACCTGTGATACGTCATCAAACTGAGATTTTCCATAAAGGCTAGATATACTTTCCGCCCGCATGAGATACGCTGCAGTTCTTCTCTTCACAGCTTCTCGGCGGGTAGGGCTTGACTCTCCTAAAAAGAGAAAGCAAAAATCTAGGCTTTGGGGAAATAAACTTCTTTTATCCAATCTGAAGATTAACTTAGTTTACACAATTTACTGCTGTTCGCACTTCTAACAGAAAAGATACTAAAACCTGGAACATACAACGAAGTGATTAACATCAGTTAAGTCTAACATTACCATGAATTCATCTACCCAAATTCTGGTGCTCCCTTATTTAAATATGTATTGAATATTTGATATATTTTATGGTGGTAGTGGTTGCTACGTGCCTTGCAGTCAGTTCCAACTCATAGTGACCCTATACAGGGTTTCCAAGGCTGTAAATCTTTATGGAAGCAGAAAGCCTCATCTTTCTCCCGCAGAACAGCTGGTAGTTTCAAACTGATGACCTTAAAATTTACAGCCTGATTCGTAACCACTATGCCACCAGAGCTCCTTGATATATTTTATAGGAGGAGTCAAATCCATAATACAGTATAAAAAATTTTGAACAGAAGATACCAGACTAGCCCTAGTCCATACAGTATAAAGCTGTGCTTAATCACTTTGCAACTCAATACATATTGTAATAGATGTTTAATAAGAACTCTGGCACGGATATGATATGATATGCCATGGTGGTGGTGGTGGCTATGTGCCACCGAGTCAGTTCCGACTCACAGCGACCCTTTATAGGCTGTAAATCTTCACAGGAACAGAAAGCCTCATCTTTCTCCTGCTGAGCCACTGGTAGATTCAAACTGCTGACCTTTGGGTTAGCAGCCCAGCTCGCAATCCACTGAGCTACCAGGGCTACTGGTGGTATGCCATGGACTATGCAAAAATACCAGCAAACTGGAATGCAACTATTAAAAATGAAATTATTTTAGAGCAACCCTGAAATCATTCTAATTGATTGTTTTGTAAGCTTAGTGAGTTTGAGGGAGTGCTGGTTGGGCTTTGTAGTATAAGCACTGGACTGCTGACCATAAGATTAGTTAGTTCAAATCCACCAGCCACTCCTTGTAAACCCTATAGAGGGTCGCTATGAGTCAGAACCAACTTGACAGCACTTAACAACAGCAACAGTTAGTCTGAAAACAGGAATGTTATTGAAATCCATGTATTTTATACAATTAGATGAAAGTGAACAACTCATTTACCTATATGAGTCTCAGTTTCCTCAATTATTACACAACAAGTATACCAAATGGCTTCCAAAGAACTCCTCAAGACCCTAAAGAAGAGGTTAAACCACTGGGTTCTGGGTTTTTCTCCTCTCCAGCAAGGAATGAGAGAGATTCTGCTTCTACCCACTGTATGTACCCTACTATCACATCAAATTTCCCTTGAAGAAAGAGTTCCATGGCTAAAAATCACAGTAATTCAAAACCACTAAACTCTGTGATGGCTAAGGTTCCTTTCAACAATAATAATGAACACTATTCATGATTCACTGGTTTATCAAAGCACTTTAATACACAATTGTGTTGTTATTTTAATTTAGCCTATGAATTTTCTGAATAAAGCTAGCCAAAAAGCAAGCATCATACAGTGCAAAGTGCCCTGGGTTATATTCTAGAAATCCTAGTTATCTGAATCCTAAACTCTGCCTCTAAGCAGTCACTGTAAATCATCTCAACTTTCTGAATTTCTCCCTCATTTCCTAAAATGGAATATAAATCTCAAATGATTGTAGAGATTAAAGGAGACATCACACATAAACGGTACTATCACAGGAACATTCAATCACATGGGAAACACTAAATAGCAAACTTCACAATTGCTTTTTGGTCTGAAAATTGGTTTTGCTCTCAAAACCAAATCCTACAAAATAATGTTTCCTGAATTGAAATGAACTGAATTACTAGTAAAAGCAGATATTTTCCCCTAAAAGACTACTAACAGAAAATCCCCCTTATTTCTGCCTGGAACCATCTCTTCTCCCTGCTTCTTCTGGGAAATTTCCCTTTCTTCTCCCAGTCATGCCCTTCCACCAGAGATACTAACCCTAACCAAGTATTTGAATCAAAGCTGCTATCTTGTTACCATGGAATGCCAAAAGAACCAATAGATCTGTTTTGGAAGAAGTGCAGCCAGAGTGCTCCTTGGAGGCCAGGATGGCTAAGCTTCATCTCTCATACTTTGGACATATAGTCTGGAGGAAACA